GTGATTCATTTACACACCCTGAAATCAGATGAAGTCATTCAATATTTGGGATGATTTCCCCCGTCACTTTCACATCATCCACTCTGACTGACGCTGGGTGTGGCTGAGGCAGCTTTCTGAAGAAAGGAGCAATTATGAGGTTATCAGGAAGAGTTGTTATAGATAAGTTAAAGTAGAGACTCACCTCTGCGTGACTTGGAACCAGACTGACAAATTCTTAAGAAGTCGCAGTGTCTGTCCCGATTAAGACTGACTTAAGTGAGAGATCGGTGGATAAACACGAAAAACTAAAACTAAAGTAGAGGACACACCCAGAGTCAGTCAAAAACAATTAAGATGAGGCAGGTGACAAGTGAGGTGAAATCAGCCTTTAGTGCAATTGTATGAAGTGTATGAGCCTTTTATATTTAAATACTTAATATTTACAGAGAGGGGCTCCTCTCTACGGAGGCCACCATGTTTTTTAAAAAACTGAGGGGTGAAGTTTTTCATCTGTTAATCGTTCTGCTTCCTAAGAAACAAAGTGCCTTATCTCACCGAGGCAAGATATCACATGTTGGTTGTTTTAGACACATGACCCATCGCAGCGCTTTAATGACTCTGAGCAGGTTTGTGTAACTGCCCGTTTGTTAACAAATGTGTTTTCACTTTTATCTTCCAGTAAACTCTCAAACACAGCTTTCAACAAGGTTTCATGTTTATCAGACACAAGCTCCAGATCAAATCTGCAGAATGTAGATGATTCTTCAAATCCTGACCTCAGACATCATCGTGCACCTACTTCTGTTTAAAACTGAGGCACTGAGCAACAGTTGGATTTGTTGATCCACCTTTCGTTCATTCACCTCAGCTTATCTGAGGTGGTGGTGGAACTTTCCAGCTCCAGTTCCGGGTCTAACCAGGACTCTTCTCCCAGTTGGGTGGGTTCAGAAACCCCCCCCCCCCCCCCCCCCCCCCCCCCCAATGGAAGGAGCCTCAGAGGCGTCCTGAGAAAATGCCTGACCCAACTCAACTGGCTCATTTCAACGCAAAAGAGCAGCAGCTCTGGAGGTTTGTTGATGAATTTAACCTTTTTCGTTTAAATTGCTTTTTCCTGAGAACTTTACTCTGAAAGACGTTTCACAAAGTTCTGTGCTGAAACTAAAACAGCTGCACCAACCTTCCACACAGAGAGGCCTTTATTCTCCCTGCAGTGTTTTTCGGCCTGACAGAGGGTGACCCAAGAGGGGGGGGTGGGGTGGGGTAGCAGTTATGCGCTTGCCAGTTTCGTAACTTTTCCGCTCTGCTTCGAACCTGGCATGTGTGAAAACAAGTTTCACCGTTAGAGAAAGAGCTGTGAGTTTGGAAATCACAGCAATAAAAAGATTTTTATTTCAGGAGTGGAAAACGATGCTGGAGCTTCAAGAAATTAAACTGAAGGAGAAAAAAAGCTTCTCTGGGATCTGATTGGCTCCTGAAGTGCCCCTGTCCCATCAGTGTCTGAACCAAAAGCTGTGTCTCAATTCAGGGGCTGCATCCTTCAGAGGACGCGTTCTAGATCCACCTCTGCATTTAAAAAAAAACTACCTTCATCTAAAAATCAAGGCACAGAAAGATGCTCCTCTCATTTCAGTTGACTCTGTTTAAACCTCCTCATATTTCTTTCGTTGCCCACTTACGATCAAAAGATTTCTCCACATTGTTAAAGGTCCTGCAGGATATTGCTCAGGACGTCCCTCGGTCCGCCTGCAGCGACTCCTCTGAATCTGGAATGCTTCCATTGTCGGTTCTTGCCAGGCCCCACACCCAGCGCCGGTCGGCCTCGCTTCATTAGTCTCTCTCTGCTTTTCTTTGGAAGTGTCTTAGAAATAGATTTGATCTGATAATGTGTTTTCATTCAATCAAACCATCAAATTTAATTTATGTTGCGCAAATTAACAAATTACAATTTGTCTCACAGGGCTAAACATCCTCTCTTTCTCTTTTCTTTAATCCTAAATTTAATATAGCCACAATCTGAAAGCTGCCCATTAAAGAAGTGGGAGCTCAGGCTGCACAGAAGTGTGACTCTGCAACTCTAAAAGCTAAATCTGAAAATGTAACACACTCGGATAAACGTCCTGGACGTGGATTAAGAGATCATCTGCTACAGATCATTTCTATGTTCATAATCCTAAGAAAAACTTGTCGTCTGTTGAGATGTTAGTTTCTTAATCCTGGCGAGTTGGTTTTAGATGATACGCTGCGCTGCCATCTGCATTCCACGACCACATGAGACAAGTTTCATCAGCCAGTGTTATCTCAGACACACCCATCCTTTAGTTAACAAATATCCTTGCAGCTTTTCTCCCCTGGCACTGACCTGTTTGTTCGCTGCTAATAACACGTCAGCTTTTCTGGCATGTGACATGAGCAGCAAGCAGGTGTGTGTGGGGAACAATTGTAAAACTATTACTACTGCTGCTGCTTCTCTAAATCTGTCTCGCCACCAAGACGGAGATGACAGATATATGAATACTGTCTGGAGTTTTTCATACAGGTGGAAAATCCAGAGTTTCTCAGTTCATTGCATTTAAAAGCAGCACAAGATCAGATAAGGAATTAATATGGCCGTTGTGCAGATGTATGTTAATCACAGTTTTGTCTTAAATCTGCAGCTACACATGAATATACACAATATGACCTGTGCAATACTGTGGCTGCTCTTTGCACAAAACACACGTATAGTGAGCAAGTCTTGTGTTCAACCTCTGTTTTCATGATTCATCCTTATTTCTGTTGCCACTGGAAGACTAGAAATGTGCATATGACAGTAAAGAATCTTGAATCTTTTTCCAACACATAACAAAAGTAAAACCAGAGACACTGATAATCTTGCAGTGGTCTGTTAATCTTTTCCAGAGTTGTATAGTTCAGCAGTTTTGATGAACACTTTCGTTATGCGTTAGATGAGCAGATAACTGCAGATAACTGCTCTTGACTCAGTTACTATAAAGCTGCAACCAGCAGTTGGTTGGCTCAGATCAGCTTTTTTTTTTTTTTTTTAAACTAAAATAGCAAACATGGCCCAAATATCCCAAAACAAATATTGGCCTTTCTTTGGCAAATATGTGGTGTGGTAAGGTGCAATCTGGGTTTTAACCTGAAGTGGCCCATGGGGTAAATAGTGAATATGGCCCAAATAGCAGAAATAGAATTTGAGCTCTAGCCCCTTTGGTTGATACGCAGTATTGCTATGGCTCACTTGTGGCCCAGATCAGGCAAACAACACCCGAGTGCCATCATTCCACTCGCTATATGAGCCGAGACAGGACCAAAACAATGTTGCTATACTTGCCTGGCTACATCCAAATGCTAATCTAAATCCTCAATGGGGCGATGCCTGTGTTGTCTTTAACTCAAACAGGATGTGTTATCTCTTATCACATTGTAATAATATATTTTGATGAGAGAGACTTGGTGGGCAGGGATGAGCTCAGGCGGACTGAAGCTGCCAATGGTTCAATGTCTACAGGAATAAAGGTGAAGTTGGAACAGAGGAGATTTTCTTTTCACGTGTATCACAGTAGATTCAGCTGGTGGTGAAATGAAAAAACTGTTTCTCTGATCTGAGTTCAGTCTCTAACAGATTCCAGATGTTTGAAGTTATAAAATAGTTTCAGGTCAGGACGGGGGCAGGCCAGGGAGGGTTCCATGCTTCATTCCTACGGTTCAACAGGGGGAGTTGTTCTGCAGCACCAGTGTTGAGCTGGTGTGTGGAATGTTTGGTTTGTGTTGACTGAAGTGAGTTCTTGTCTTTGTGCTTTGTTCTGAAAACTATCAGGGAGTTGTCCTGAACCTCATGTTCCTGCTCCGACTCTTTATTAGAAGAATGCTGACTCTGTGTTGGTCAAGATGCAAAAGAAATGTGAAAATCTTTCACTTCAACTCCTTCTCACTAACCTACGAAAGGTACTATATCAATTTTCCAATACATTTTTTTATTTTATTTTATGATCTGGTGGTTCCTGCCTTTCATTGACATATTTTCATTTTTAATTTATTTGATTTTTTCTTTTACTTCCTATAAGATTCTTGAATTCAAGTTTTATACATTTGGTTTTATTTGTGTTGATTTATTAAATTATTTAAACTTATGATAAAGTTTGTGGTTAAACTGTCAGATATCAAATACAGCACACAGTCCTCATTTCTCCGCAGCTTCACTTACTGAACCGTCAGAAGCTGCCGACGCCAACATGAATCATTCTGATGAAAATCCCACCAGCCTGGTGAAACCAGAGGGGCGAGGCCCTGAACGCCTCCTCCTGGAATTCAGAAAAAGATCCAATAGCTGTCACAATAAATATCAGTAACCAGCATTAAACCAGCACAGAGTGAGCGTGATGGGAGATATACTCACTGCATCTGTATTTAACTTTGTTGTGCATCCAGGGCTTAGTAAGACACCTCCTCTGATCCAAACCTGTGATCACGAACATGCATCTGACTTTGTGTGACAGCTTCAGAATTCTCAGGCTAATCAACATATAACATGAGGAGCAACTTTACAGATTCACACACAGCACCGTGTGTCTGAGTTTAAAACATCTGTAAAACTGCAAAGAATAAAATATGAATGTGTGAAATACTTACTTATCTCTCACTTGATGTTTGATGTGTTTGCAGAGCAGAGATCAGTCCAGAGTCCATGCATTCAGACAGACGTGCAAGTGTTGGTTTGGGGGAGTAAAGCTTTTGCTCTCCCTGGTGGACAATAGTGCAAATTGCACATTCCTGCACTAACCAATAGTGGAAAGTAATTATTTATAGTATTCAATAATAATTCTGTTTTCTGCCACTTTAAACTTCTGCTCCTCATTTCTTTGGTTATTCATTTTTCAGATTAATATTACAGAATAAAATCACACGGTGGTGTGAGTCATTAATCATTAAGTAAATAACTCAAACTATAAAAGTCTAAAGCAAACTGCATTTATTAGCATTTATGAAAATACTAAATCATTTAATAAATTCTGCTTTAGTCAAACAAAGCGTCCGGCCTTTATCAGCACATTAACAGGAAACAGCGTGCAGAACACTGATGGGAACACTCAGCAGAACGTGCCGGGCTTTAAACAAACAGGAAACAAGTCGTCTGTGATCCGCCGCCTCCTATTGTCACAGACTCACTCTTTAATCCACCTCCTCTATGATGAGCTCAGGTTCTTCTGACAGAGGGGTCAGCATGGCCTCTAAGGGTGGAGGAGTGTAGGGGACCTCTGGAGGTGAAGGGATGAAGAGGAACTGGCTGCAGAGCTGACACACGAACAGGAGGACGACAATGACGATATCACAAGACATGAATAATGTTTTAATATTCAATCTGAGAAACAGCCACTCACAGCCAGAGGTCCGGCCCCTGGTGGAGATGTGCAATGGGGGTTTGGTCCAGGGAGGCCGCAGTTGTAAATGGCAGCAGGCACAGATGGTATCCACAGGGGGTAGAAGTAGAAGTTTGGATGTGGAGGAAAGGATGCTGGGTAATGAGCTGGCATCCTGTAGGGGAAGTGATGGAAAGGAGGAGGTGGAATCTGCACCGTTTCATTTGAGACCTGAGCATCTGAAAGAAAACATGGAAACAAGATGAGCCACATGTACATTTGAATGTTAAATAACAAAAGACTTCTTTTCAATTCTTTCACATTATTATTATTATTATTTGAGGTGTGTCATAAATACTATATTTTCTAAATCTGACATCTTAAAATGTACCTCATTGTTTTAACATATCATTCATTTGATCTGTTTCTGACCCAATGAATAAATTGTGCTTGGTACATATTTTACTATTCATATTGGCTCATATAATATGAAGCACTTAGATGTAATGGTAACGAATATAAATTAATATAAACCTGAATATTTATCCTCTTATTTTGAATGTTTATACATCTTTATAATCCTGATACTCACTGATAGCTGCGGTGGGAGCGATGGGCCGCTCCTCTCTCCTCTCCTGCCGGGTCACACGGTCCTCTCTGCGGGGGGCTCTGGCGCGGAGATCCAGGGCCACTCCTGCGTCGGCGGAGCTCCACGGAGCCGCTGCGGGTCCGGGAGATGCGGCCGAGGGGGGAGCCTCTCTGGGCGCGGCCGGGGTGCTGGGGGCACCGGGTCGCTGCTCCGGATCCTGGGGCTCACGTCTCCTTCGCTGGGCAGAACTGACCCGGTCCCTCAGAGAGATCTGGAAACACTTCAAGCAGTCGCACCAGAGAAACGGGCACAACCTCTGGTGGTTCCTCAGCGGGGTGATGATGCCGTGCTGCCGGCAGCGGGGACACTTCAGTTCCCTGCGTCGAGGATTGGTCGAAGACATCAGTCTGAGAGATGAGGACAGATGAAGACAGATGAGGACAGATGAAGACAGATGAAGACAGATGAAGACAGATGAAGATAGATGAAGATAGATGAGGACAGATGAGGACAGATGATGGTAACTAATGGTAATAACTGATAATAACTGATGGTAACTAATGGTAACTAATAACTGATGATAGGTTTCTGCACTAACCACAAGTGGAAATGAATTGATTTAAAGTTCTCTGCCACTTTATGCTCCTCATTTACTCATTTTTCAGATAAATCAATAATCATATAACTGGTGATCATTGTTACAGGTGAATAAATAATCAATAGCTGAACATTGATGTGGTGGAGAATCATGGTGGTGTTAGTGGTTGAAGTAAATGTGAATACACACGATGGTAACTGGTGGTAAGTTAAACTCTGGGAGGTCACGTTTCTCTCACTCTGCAGGTACATGACCCAACTTCATCCTTCTGTTTAAATTGTGAAATTAAATTTTAATTGGCTCATAACAATCGTCGGACACCAAACATCCATTCAGATCCCATCATCAGAAACAGTATCAATCAGAAATACAGTGACGAAGAAGAAAACTTTGATTCACTCGCTAATTAATATGGGCATAATCGAAATACACGATTGGTTAAAGTTGTAATGAATACAAACACAAAACATGTAATTTCCATCTTTATTTACATAGCATAGGCTGTTACAATAAAATTCCTTGTCACCATTTTATTATAAATACACCATTTTTAACAAGGCTTGACGACCCTGATTAAAATCCTTTTGAAACGTAGCAATAAAACAAATGCTTAAATGAATACAACTATGTCGTTTCCGCTCCTTGTAAATGTTAGTAAATCATGCAAAGCAGAAATACACGATAAAGTACGAAAATAATATGATATAGATCAAATGTGCTGCTTTACAAAGAAGAATTTGAATTCAAAACAAGTACATGTGGTGGAAAATGAAAATACTGGGTCTGGTGGCAAAGCTTAGAGATCTTTCTCAGAGAAATGTTAATTCATGGCTTTCAGCAATAGTCCTTTATATCATCATCGATATACAGTACATACATTACCTGTCTGTGAAAGAAAAATATTCAAATCTAAGCCACTGAACATTCGAACCATACATTTTAGCCCTGTGTGACTACACTAAACAGACTGTTAGTACTTTAAAGTCAGATTGTGACATACTGTAAAAAGCCTTACCTGATAACACAGTAACTATGAGTAGCATTGCTCCTTCAGTCATGCACGAATCAGTTTCCAGTCTAACCACCTGATACTATTCAACCACGCAGTGCAGTGTTAGACAGGATTTTAAACGCAGGCACTTACAAAGCATGGTTTAGGCCTTTAAATGAGTTCAAGAGTAGATGCTATAGGTTCAGAATGGTTGCACAGTAAAAAATAAACCAATGGAACACGGTTTGAGTCAGTTTTTCTCTGGAGTGTTGCATAAAATGATCTATTACAGCAAAGGGCACAGTCCAAATTACAGCCTCTGGTCTGTGGAAGACTTCTGAGAGGAGCTGGAGACATGATGAACTGCGGAGACAATACCTGGACCAGAAAAACATGGAACAAAAACATTAGACTTCAGGACAAAAGACACAAACATAGAAAAACAACATTCGATTTAAGAGTAAATTCTCTCTTTACGCACCTATCTTAAAGGGTCCAAAAGGCTGGGACTATCATGTGTTTGTCTTGAGGTTGGATGTCCAGGATGGCGTTAATGGTCATATCAGGCTGCATATTTGTTGCATTTGTAGGAGTTTGTTGTTTGGGAGTTAATTTCACAAGGTTTGCATGTTGCTGCAACTCCAGGTTTTGACGACACACCGTTGGGAATGCACTGGAGTTCCGATACTGGCAGAGTATATGTGGCAGTGTGGCCCAGGCGAGAACAGATCTTGAAGCTTGACATTCTTAAAGCAGACACTAAGTGTCATTCATCTTCGGGAGAGACTCCTAATTCTGCTCTGCAGAGTTGATTTTATCTTTCTTTTAAAATTCAGAAAAACATGCATGTACAAAGAAAATCTGTTTATCTGTACACTTAATTTGGTTCATTGAATCCATGTTTGTGGAAAAATGTATGCTTGTTATATTAAACCATAAAATATATACTTAAAAATGTTTGTGATAGATATTGGATATAATAACCCATGTTACATAATCTTGCAGTAAAACCAACATCTCATAAAGAAGCATAAACATAACTAGAAGTAAATGGGAAATATACAAAAATCTAAATTATGCAACTTGTAAAAAAATTAAATATTAAAAGTATTGCAACAACCACATGCAGAGCAGAATATAAGGAGTCTGTATTCCACTGATTTAGGCATCTTGTGAGCACTGTGGTTTTATAGTGTATTCTTCTTTCATCAGTATCGACGAGTGTAACTTGGTGAACTGTAGGAAGAAGAGAAGGTGGTTGTGGTGAAACTTGATCCTGTGGCATCAAAGCTGCCTCTTCTGGAGCCCGACCTGGATCCAGTTCTTGAACCAGAGCGTGACCCACTAGCGGAGCCTGACCCACTGATGCTATAGGGACTGTAAAGGCCTTTGCTAGACTGAGAGGATGCTTCAAGTAGTCTTAGACCGGTGCCCTCCTCTATCATGCTTCTTTCCATAGCATCCTTGTAAGAGATCTTGAGCTTGGTTTTAGGGCATGTAAGATATTTTGAGTATGCACTAACATCTCGCAACTTCTGTGCAGTGCGTGCATCTAAGTAGCCTTTCTTCACTGCCTCATCTATGGATACTCTGCTGGTAGCATCTGGTTCAATTAAACCACCAGTAAGATACTGGACCTCCAGGAATCGCTGCCCGGCCTCATAGTACAGCCAGCCTTTCTTCAGAGCTTGAGCTGCTGACATTTTGGATTTTGTTCTTGGATCTTCAAATCCACTGTAGGCCTTCTGTGCTAGAGCGATGCGGTCCACCATAATCTTATCCACCAGCCCTTTGTTCATTGCATCTGCAATAGAAAATTTCTCTCCAGTACTTGGGTCAAGGATGCCTCCTGTGCAGGCCTGAGCTTCCAGCAACCTCTGACCGGTTATATTGTCCACAAGGTTTCTGTGAATGGCCTCTGTGACGGACACCTTCTCCAGTGTTTCTGTGTCTAAGATTCCGGCTACAGGGCCAGTTTCCTCTGTGGGATCAACCCAAGTAGTTGCTGGTGTTTTTATGGAAGGTGCTGGGCTCATGGGGTAGGAAGAAGAGGAGCCAAAGGAGGAAGAACGTGATCTGGAACCACTTGTGTTCCCAGACAACATGTCTGCGAACTCTGTGATGGACAGAGTTCCTGCTCTGTATTGATCCAGAGCTGACTTGTCAATCAGACCGCGTGAGATTGCATCATCTATGTCATACTGCTGACCAGACCGTCTGTCAGTGATTATGGATTTCACAACTCCATCAGATGAGGTGATGGTGATTTCCTCCCATTCACACTCCTGCTCTGCAAGCTCAAGATATGTCTGGTGGTCAATAAGTCCTTTCTGGTATGCCTCATACACAGACATTTCTTTACTTGTCTCTGGATCGACAATAACGACCCTACGTTTACGAACAGATGACTTGGATGATGTCTTCCTCTCGCGCTTCTTCTCTTTCAACAGCAGAAGAGCAAGGCCTGTTGTTGGGTCTATCATACATCTCTCCATCAGCTGTAGGTAGGTGAGATTTTCCTCAGTGTTGGGGTCAAAGAAGCCCTTTGTGTCATCAGACGGGTCAGTGAGGATTTCATTCATTTCCTCATCAAAGAGGCCACGTTCATATGCCGATTCAACTGGCAGTCGATGGCTCTCCTGTGGATCAATGATTCCACCAGTAGCGATCTGAGCCTCGAGCAGACGAATGCCATGGTCTTTGAGAATGAGGCCCTTTTTCATTGCCTGGAATAGAGAGATGACTTTGCCAGAATAAGGGTCCTTGTAGCCTGTGACAGCTCGTTCAGCTGAGACGAGTTTATCTTTAAACTCTTGGCCAACAACACCCAGTTTCACAGCCTCTGTGACATTTAGTTTAAGGTTCTTGATAGGATCAATTACATATCCTGTGGCAGCTTGAGCCTCAAGGAGCTCAAAGGCGGTCCCTGGTCTGATCATGTTCTTCTTCATTGCTTGATAAATAGACAGCCGATCTTTGCTAGATTCTACATACACTCCAGCAATACAACTGGTACCCTCGAGGTATTTCTTCACTTCTCTGCTGACTTCCTCCACTGTAATGACACCTTCAGTGAGGTCGTTGTATGTCTTTTGGTTGATAATCTGTGAACGGAGCAGCTCATCCACAGTGATTTGCTTTCTCAGACCCTTGAAGAGGAGTTTTCTGTCTGCCAGAGAAAGTAGCCTCAAACCACTTCCTTTGTCAACTCTGCATCTTTTCAGGAGCTGGGCATAGGACTGTTTCTCGTCTGCTGTTGGATCAGTGTATCCACGCACATCCCCAGTAGGTTCAGAAATTCTGTCAAGTGTCTCTTTGTTGATGTATCCACGTTGCATAGCTACGTCTGTGGGGAGGTGGAAGTAGTATTCAGGATCCATTAATCCACCAGTGGCATTCTGGGCCTCCAAAAGCCTCAAGGCATAATCCTCAGGAATCAGGTCTTTTTTCATCGCTTGGAAGAGAGAAATTACTTTGCCAGTGTACGGATCCTTGTAACCTGTGACTGCTCTCTCAGCAGAGAGAAGTTTGTCATGGAGTTCAGGGCCCACAAGCCCTTTGCGCACAGCCTCATCAACAGTTAGAAGCTCATCCTTGACTGGATCAATCATGAATCCGGTTGCTGCTTGGGCCTCAAGGAGATTCAAAGCAACTTCAGGTTTAATTAGTCCACTCTTCATGGCCTGGTAAATGCTGATCTTTGGTGGACTGTCAGACATAATTCCAGCAATACAACCAGTGCCAAAGAGGTATTGTTTGACTGATTCCATTTCCATGACTTCACGAATACTCATCTTTTCTTGCTTGAGGAGGTTGTATGTCTGCAAGTCA